AACTCGATCCAGTGTCAGCCACAGCTCAGGCTCCAACGATTTTGCAAGAGAGAGATGTAATTTTAACAGTTTTTGGGATATCTCAGCCAAGTTCTTCTTGGTGGCTGAAATTCGGTCTTTGACTAACCACAACGACGCTTGTCGTAGAATGCCTTTGGCCTGGTTAGAAGATGGAAATGGGTTTTTTAATTGAAAGCATTTCGGTACTACATGATGGTCGCGGCACCGTTTCAAAAACGCTAGGGAGCATAGTTGGACATGCAAGGACTTTCTGAGTTTGGAAAACAGATTTACCGACCCTAGGATAGCCTCTCCATGCAGGCTTTTAATACTAGATTTGAAGCTTTCACGGCCATTGATACAATGTCTAGATATAGCTTCCGGAATGGAGCCGTGTCTTGAATCAGCGATATGCCGACGTTTCGCAAACGTTGCAGTTTGCATCATCAGGGCTGAGAACTCTGATACTGAGCTCCCTTGGGTAAAGGTAGTCCTTATATGCCCCCCTCCCCCCCCCTTTGTGTAGATGGTGTTTTTTAAGGAGTAGGGGACGAGGCTTGAATCCAGCCAATCAGCGTATTTTAATTGATCAGCTGGTCAGTTTAATCTCACTGTCAGTAGTCTCACTGTTTACCAATGTTCCAGTCCAGGATACTTTGAACATCATCGAGAATTCCGAGGAAATTCCTGCCAACCTCTTCCCACTAATAGAACACTGCTTAACTTCAACCTATTTTCAGTTCCAAGGAGAGTTTTTCGAACAAACCTCTGGAGCGGCGATGGGATCTCCTATATCTCCTATCATTGCAAACATCTTTATGGAACACTTTGAGAATAAAGTTTTGAGGAACGCACCACTGAAACCATCCACATGGTTTCGGTATGTGGACGATACTTTCGTAATTTGGAATCATGGCAGGGAAACTCTTTCTCAGTTTCTCGGGTTTCTCAATTCACAACATCCCAGTATTCAGTTCACAATGGAAGTGGAACAAAATAATCAAATACCCTTCCTGGATGTGCTAGTCCAAAAGAACCAAGATGGCACCTTAGGTCACCAGGTCTACCGAAAACCAACACACACAGACCGATATCTACATGCAACCTCTCATCATCATCCCACGCAAAAGAATTCTGTCATAAGTTCATTGGTTTACAGAGCGCTCACAATTTCGGAACCATCTTCTCTGAATGGAGAACTAGAACACCTCAGTACAGCCTTAACTAAAAATGGATACAACAGCAAAAACATCTCACAAATAATAAAAAACCAGAAGAACAGAATTGTCAGTCCTAAAAACACTGACACATTAGATGAAGAGAGAGAAAAGAGAAAAACGGCTGTCCTTCCATATCTCCAGGGCATAACAGAACCTATCAGCAGGATTTTGGGTAAACACAAAATCAAAGTAATCTTCAAACCTCATAGGAAGCTGTCCCATTTACTCCCAAATCCGAAGGATCAGAAATCATGCCTAGAAACATCAGGTGTATATAAGATCCCTTGCTCTTGTGGTAAAGTTTATATAGGAGAAACCTGGAGGAAGATCAGTACGCGAATCAAGGAACACCAACGGTGTACCAAGTATGGTTACTTTACTCAATCAATTCAGCCCTAGCTGAACACTGGATGGAGACTGGACACTCCGTACAATATGAAAAAGCCACCAGATTGGCCCCCTCACAGAGTTATTTTGCCAGAAAACATCGTGAAGGTCGAGAAATTTTGAAACATCCCAACAACCTCAACCGAGACAAAGGTATGCAAGTAAACTCTATTTGGCATACTGCCCTCCTGGTTTTTTAATTGACCAGCTGATCAATTAAAATACGCTGATTGGCTGGATTCAAGCCTCGTCCCCTACTCCCTAAAAAACACCATCTACACAAAGGGGGGGGAGGGGGGCATATAAGGACTACCTTTACCCAAGGGAGCTCAGTATCAGAGTCCTCAGCCCTGATGATGCAAACTGTAACGTTTGCGAAACGTCGGCATATCGCTGATTCAAGACACGGCTCCATTCCCGAAGCTATATCTAGACAATTATTAATCTTCCTTTTAAAAAGAGCACATTAAAATTCTAACAAGTTAGAATTGATGGGTGCTGCAGAATTGATGTAGAATTAACTGAGTAATATTTTTGTCATTTGATTTAAATAAAATTTCTAAATAAAATAAGATGAAAAAGGGGGTAAATGTGCGTCATTATGACAATTTTCATCACTTTCTGGCATGAACGTGATATTGTTTGACATGACATCATTAATATCATTTGGCTCGTTAGACATGACATTAATATTAGCGTAATTATTTTGTATTTGTGCAGGAATTACTATTGCTCTGCATGTAATCGTATTGCTTCAGATTGTCTAATTGCGACTCTTGCTGAAGATAATTAGTGTCTAATTGCGGACTAACAGTGTAATCGGTTAGAAGAGAAAATGGCTCTGAATGAAAACTTTTCTGTTGTTGACAATTGTAGGATGCACTCGATAAGACGTATAAGCGTTGCGGTTGTGTTGCGGTTGCACTAGAATAATTTTGTTGCTTGAATTGTTGCTGAATGTTGCTGATTGTTGCTGATTACTGTTGATTGCTGCTGATTGTTGCTAATTGTTGCTGATTGTTGCTAATTGTTGCTGATTCCATGACTTGGTGTTGCAGATAAATTGTTCTGATAACTGTACCGCAATATATCCTGCGATATGTTGCTAGGATATGCACAGGACGGATTGGCTTGCACGTTGAAATTATTCAAAATCAACGATGATTTCGGGCTATTTGTAATTATATTGAAAGTATCATTACAGACAGATGTACTACTTGAACAGCCTGCGAGCTCAGTTTTGTCACTGGGCATAAACGATATGACGTCGCATTTGTTGTCTTTTTTGTTTCATCCGCCGATTTTGAAACCACACTTTAATTTGTTTTTCTGCGAGATTGAGTGTAGCCGATATTTGAATGCGTCGTGCCCTGCAGAGATACCGTCCACTTTGGAATTCTCTTTCCAAATGCATTAATTGGGTGCTAGTATAAGTCGTTCTGGTACGTTTCACCTTGGTTGGTTTTCCTCGTTTGCTGAAATTAAAAGTTTATAATGTAAACAAAACAGTTTATGAAGAATTTGTTATTTTGCGCTTCTAATGGAAATAAAGATCATAGTTGATAATTTTTTCTAAATTGCAATTTGAGAAATATAAATAATTGTCTCACATTATATATGTGTGTGCAAGCTATTGTGACTAAACAATTGATCTTATATTCCACTTCTATATACACGAATTATTTGTTTATAATATTTAAAATATACATAATTTAGAAATAGCTTTCTTAGATTTTTATTGATTTCCTTAAGTATTTATATCATTAGGAATCATTAGGAACAGCCCATTAGCAGTTAGGCTTTCTGCTTTTCAGCGGCGGCGTTAGTAATTCATAGGTAGCGAGAAGCAGTAAATTATGGTCTACGGCGACTCTAAAATTTCTGAAATATGACGTTACAATGAAAACTCTGCGTCGTTTGACAAAAGGAGCCGGGCTATGCTATTATTTTGCCGGATTGTGTTTAAGGAAAATAACGTCACTGAGAAAAAAAAAATATTTTTGACCCAAATAAAATTATAGCTATTTTTGACTCCGACTATATTTTTTGTTTATGAGAATATTAGTAGCAACATGTACATAAGGTTATTATTACTAACTTTATGGCAGACTTTAACAAAAAAATAGTTTTCTTGACCATAATTTGTAAGTAATTATTTCTCTACATGATTATTACAAATATCAAGTATTTTCCTCTTATTGTGTGTGTTTAAGGAAAATTTAAAAAATATTTTTTTCATACTCAAATATGTTATGTAAAATATTCAGCATATAATTAACTCTTTCGAAAGTCTTAAAATGAATTTAGAGTTTTGCTAATTTTATTTTCTATGCAAACCATTTCGAAAAGACAAAACCGTGTTAATCAAGTTAGTATTATTGGATTAAAACTATCTCTGCCGATTATTAAACGCCGATGTTTTGTGTATACAAGTTCGGTAAGCCAAATTTTTTTGCGCTTTCTTTTATCCGATTTTAATCACCAATAAATAATTTTCATTCATAAATCCAGCGATAGGTCCATTGGATGTGGACGGGGAAGATGGTGACAGCCACGGGACTTGGCAGCGGGGGGGACAGAGCAGTAGGGACTCCTCCGCGGACCGGAAGAGGAAGAGGGCGGGACCTCAAGATGAGGATTCCCCGTCCTCTCCTGTCGGAAACAGGAAGAGGGTCTCCAGGACTGTCCCGTCCTCCTCAAGTGAAGAGGAAATGATCGTGGAGGGGGACGCCGGGTCCTTTAGGGCCCTACACCCGACTACCGAGGAGGCGGAGATCGGCAAGCGATGCCGGGAAGAAGTGGCGCGAGATATGGCGGAGGGGACACTCCCCTCGGGAAACGCCCCCTATTTAAAGGCGCGCGGCTGGGGTGGCAACCCGGCAGCTAACGGTCGGAAGAAGTGCACCGCGACGGCGGCGACGACCGGCGGGGGGACGCCCCAGCAAATATCGTCGAAAGACGATCGGAGGACTCTCCCGGACAAAAGGCAAGTCTATGGGAAGTCTAGCGGGGAGCTAGAGGCCTTGGTGACGGCCCTAGTTCCCCGCCTAATTGAGGCCCTGCGGGCTGAACTCCCCGAGTTATCCGGGGGACGAGCCGCAGGGACCCAGAAGGCCTCTCAAATAGCGAGGAGAGGGGCGACTACGGGGGCCGGGGCGCACAACGCCTCCCCGACCCCTCGGAACCCGCCCCGTTTCCCGGCAACCTCCGCCCCCAATGATGAGGGGGGGAAAAAGCCGGGGAAAAAGAAGAGAAAAAAGAAGAAGAAGAGCAGCGGGGGAGAACAACGGCCTTACAATGATACGGCTACCTCCCGCTGCCCTTGCGGAAGAAGTGCCCCCCCCCAGAAGAGGACCGCGACCTCGAGGTCCCCGGGGGCCCGTAACAGCCCTTCTCCCTCCAAAACCGGGTCCGAATCTTGGGCCCGGGTGGTAGGGAGAAGAGGGAAACAGGGAGGAGGGAGGTCGAAGCAGACCTCCCAATCGGCCCCCCAAAAGCCGCGGCCCAAACAGGGTACCGCGGCTAAGGGAGGCGGTAAGGAGAGGAAGGTCTCCGGAGCTTCTGGGGGCGGGAAGAAACCCGCCCTCCCCAAGGCTCCTCGCGCCGCCGCGGTTACGGTGAGCTGCCCCGCCGGCAGCTACGCCGATGTGATGCGGCGGGCGAGGGGCCAGATTGACTTAGGAGAGCTGGGGATCGGAGACCTCAGGACCAGGAGGGCAGTCACCGGCGCCCTGGTCCTAGAGATCCCCGGTCCCGAGGGACACGCCAGGGCGGACGCCCTGGCTAATAAAATGGCGGCCCTCTTCGTCGACAAAGAGGACGTTCGTATAGCGCGTCCGACGAAGAGGGCCGACATCCGGGTCCGAGACCTGGACGATGCGGCCACCGTGGAGGACGTCATCTCCGCGGTGGCGGTCGCCGGGGGCTGCGGGCCCGGAGATTTGAAGGCCGGGGAGATCCGCCCTGGACCCGACCGCATGGGGACCCTCTGGTTGAGGTGTCCCCTTGCGGTCGCCAGAAAGGTCACGGACGGGAGACGCATCCGCGTTGGGTGGTCCAACGTCCGTGTAGAGGCCCTGAGCAGCCGCCCCCTCCAATGCTACCGATGCTTGGAGTGGGGTCATGTCAGGGCCTCCTGTAAGAGTAAGGTCGACCGCAGTGGCCTCTGCTACCACTGCGGTTCGGCAGGCAACAGGGCCGCGGCGTGCGACGCACCGGCGACTTGTCCGGTGTGCCGTGACGCGGGGCGGCCCTGTGGCCATAGAGTAGGAGGCCCCGCTTGCCAAATGGGGAAGCGGGGCAAAGGGGGTCGGACTGGGAGAAGGAGACGCAAAGCCTCCAACAACCCTCCCACTCCACCCCCAGAAAAAGGCCAGGAGCCTCCCCCCCGACACCGGAGGAAGAGGCCCCAAAACTCACGACCCCGGCCCCCCCCCGCGGACCCTGCCCCTAAAGAGCAGAGGATGCCGCGGGCGGCCGGGGCCAGCAAGAGAGCGGGATCGCGGGAGAGGGATAACCCAATTGAGGGCCCCTCTCCCGCGAAGAAGTCAGGGGAGGGCCTGGAGGAGTGCGGGGCTAAGCCATAATGGCTACCCGCCTCCTTCAGGCAAATCTAAACCGCGCTCGCGGAGCTCAGGGGCTCTTTATGCAATCCCTCCGCGAGCGCGGATGCGGGCTGGGAATCGCCTCCGAGCCACACCTCGTCCCCGGGAGTCACCCCAACATAATGGGTGACGTTGAGGGGCGGGGTGGTAAGTGCTCGGTGGCGATATTCTGGCAAGAGGGAGACGCCTCTCCTCCGATCTCATTCGTGGAGAGGGGGAGAGGCTATGTCGCGGTCGAGT